ATTCGAACCCGCCACCTTAGGTGTATGTGGCTGGCGCCTTAGCCGCTTGAGCTATAGGCGCCAAGCCTGTATTATTTATTTCACCTACTTCATCAAACATCTCCTGTGTGGCAGGCTGTGTTAAGCATCATACTAAGAAAACAGACATGGTCCTTGCCCTTGTGGGGCTTACTAGGTAAAGTGGGGAGGCAGAGGAAGCTAGTAAGTGAATAAAGTTGATAATTTCACATTGTGGATAAAGTAACAATGAAGGACTGGGAAGGTACAAGTTCCCTGAGATGGGGTTGTCAGTGAGAGCCTCTGAGTAGTGACATTTGAGTTGAGGTCTGAATAATGATAGCCAGCTACAGGGAAAATTCAGAGCAAGAATATGCGAAAGTAACAGCATATGCAAAGGTCCTGAGATGAGCTTGACACATCTGAGGAACAGACAGAAAGGTCCATGTGGGTGAAGCTCAGAAGGAAGACTGCTGTGAGAGGTGAGCAGGGGCGTTAACGATGTTGGCCTTGGGCAGGAATTTTCTCCTAAGTGGATTTGTGTTTGCCTCCTGTGCTTCTGTGGCTTATTTGCCCCTGCAGCACTGGGCGTCTTTGGCTGGGCCGTGAGTGGGAGTCCCTGGTTCTGCTACATATACCAGGAGTCTCCCCCAAACTTCAGAAGCCAGATAAGTGGCTCCTTGAGACGGTTGCTAGGCTCGTAGGCCTTTAAACCCTCCTGAGCTGAGCGCAGATCTGCAGCAGCCTCCACAGGTCAGTCCCAGTCCCACTGCAGTCTTTCTCGGCCCCTTGCCACTTCCCACAGCCACTCAGCAGACATTTGAGAAGCATGACTCTGTCCCAGGCACTCCTGAGGCACTTACTGATCACAACTCCTCACCCAGAGAGTTTCTGGGCGGGGGCAACAAGATGGAGAATGTGAAAATGCACATCCACGACCCAGTCGGAGATAAGTGCCTCCCTCGATCTTACTCAGCTGTGGCATCTCCAGGATACAGTACTTCTGACATCAGGAATGGCTGTCAGGGGCTTACTTGGAGCTGGCACTCCGTGACCAGCTTTATATCCTAACTGTGTATAATCCCCACACCAATGGGGCTACAGGCACTATTATTAACTCTCTTTTAAAGATGAGAAAACTGACGGCTAGAAAGCTCAGGTAGTTTACCCAAGTAACCTGGAAAAGTGGACCTGGGCTTCACACCTAGGCAGCCTGGGTTTGGACCCTGCACTCATGGCCTGCCTTGGGAATGTCCCTTGATAAATTCAGATTTGCTCTCAGTATCGTGGCAATAAGAATATTCCTGGATCTGTACAAGTTACTAAGCTGATGGCAAGATTGTATAAATCCTACATGTCCCAGCTCAGAACATTCTATCCTTTGCCAACAGGCTGTAAGAACTTCTTGTGGTAAAGGGGAGTGCTGGCCATCAAAGGCAGACAGAAACAACTCCCAGGGGACAGCAGCCAGTGTGGTCTCATTTTTAAATTGTAAGTATGATTGTGTCACCCTCTCCTTGTTTTAAACTTTTTAGTGGCTTCATGTAGCTGTTTTTTTTTTTTTTTTTGAGACAGAATCTCATGCTGTCACCCTGGGTAGAATGCTGTGGCATCATAGCTCAGAGCAACCTCCAACTCTTGGGCTCAAGTGATCCTCAATTTTTTTTTTTTTTAAGACAGAGTCTAGGGTGCTGTGGCTTCACAGCTCACAGCAACCTCAAACTCTTGGGCTTAAGCATTTCTTTTGCCTCAGCCTCCTAAGTAGCTGAGACTATAGGTGCCTACCACAATGCCTGGCTATTTTTGGGTTACAGTTGTCATTGTTGTTTAGCAGGCCTAGATTGGGTTCAAACCCACCTGCCTTGGTGTATGTGGCTGGTGCCCTCCCCACTGAGCTATGGGAACTGTCTCAGGTGATCCTCTTGCCTTAGGTTTTTTTTTTTTTTTTTGAGACAGAGCCTCAAGCTATCCCCCCTGGGTAGAGTGCTGTGGCATTACAGCTCACAGCAACCTCCAAGTCCTGGGCTCAAGCGAGTCTCCTGCCTCAGCCTCCCAAGTAGCTGGGACCACAGGCACCCACCACAACGCCCAGCTATTTTTTGGTTGCAGCCGTCATTGTTGTTTGGCAGGCCGGGCTGGATTCGAACCTGCCACCTTGGGTGTACGTGGCTGGCGCCTTAGCCACTTGAGCCACAGGCGCTAAACCCAGTTTTTCTATTCTAATAGAGACAGGGTCTCACTTTTGCTCAGGCTGGCCTCGAACATATGACCTCAAGCTGTCTATCTGCCTTGGCCTCCCAGAGTGCTAGAATTACAGGCATGAGACACCAAGCTCTGCCCGAATACAAAATTCTAAATTCTCAGAGGCCTTTGGGGAGGGGCAGTCTGCCCCTGCCCTCACTTCTAAGCTTCCTGCCTTAGACAGCAGATGTGGTGGTTAAAGGCATAGACTTTAGAGCCAGATTGCCTGTTTTGGGAACTCAGATCTGCCTCTTCAGAGTTCTGTAGCCTTGGGCAATTTCTGATGTCTCTGTGTCTCACTTTTCACACAGGTACATCAGGAACAATTGTAATACTTCTCTCCTAGGGTTGTTTAAGAAGATTAAATGAGGTAATGCAGATGATGGAAGCACTTGGCCTGTCTGAGGTTAGCTTAACAGGGGTCCTCAAACTTTTTAAACAGGGGGCCAGTTCACTGTCCCTCATACCATTGGAGGGCTGGACTGCGGGCCTCAGGATGAATTGGCTGCTAAGAGGGACAGGCAGTGGTGGCAAAAACACCAAGCGGGCCGGATAAATGTCCTAGGCAGGCTGCAGTTAGAGACTGCCTGGCTTAGGGCCTTCCTCTATGGTTACACTTCTACCTCTTGGCTTGGCAAACCTCTCATCCTTCAGGTCTAACTGTTAGTATCTTGGGGGAGGAGGGCTTTCCTAAACTCTCCCTTCTCCCCACAAAACCAGGACAGGTGCCCCAATTATATTCCTAAGGAACTTTTTCTTCAAAAGTATTAATAATGGGCGGTGCCTGCGGCTCAGTGAGTAAAGCGCCAGCCCCATGTACCAAGGGTGGCAGGTTCGAACTTGGCCCTGGCCAAACTGCAACAAAAAAATAGCCGGGCATTGGTAGCGGGTGCCTATAGTCCCAGCTCTCAGGAGGCTGAGGCAAGAGAATCGCCTAAGCCGAGGAGTTGGAGGTTGCTGTGAGCTGTGACGCTACGGCACTCTACCAAGGGTGACAAAGTGAGACTTTGTCTCTTAAAAAAAAAAAGTATTACTCATACTTTTCAATTGTGAGCTCAACAAAGTCAAGGACCATATCTTGTTTCTGCTATAACCTTGAACATAGAATTTGTTCCACAAATGTGTTATGAGTGAGCAGAAAGGGACCCAGGGCTGGTAGTGCCCAGTGTGTAATGAAGGCCAGTTCTGCCTCAGTGGTCAGAAGCTGGTGGTGTATGGACCATTTTGAGGAATGATGTGCTTCTTTTTCCTTTCCTTCTAGAGTACTCCGTTGGTGCAGGTAACAACATGTTAGTACTTTTAGCGATGTCTCCATCTGTAAACCAGAAGCCATGGAGGAGATAAGGTAGCCTCCCCCTTGATTGGATGGGGAAGCCCAGTTCAATGGATGCAAAATATAAGGATGACTTATTTCGGAAGTACGTGCAGTTCCATGAGGGCAAAGTGGATCCCACCCCCAACAAGCAGCGACCTAGCAGCGATGAATACCTGCGGGTGGCAGCCTCAACCCTGCTCAGCCTGCACAAGGTGGATCCTTTTTATCGATTCCGGCTGATTCAGTTCTACGAGGTGGTGGAGAGCTCCCTGCGCTCACTGCGCTCCTCCAGCCTACAGGCTCTACACTGTGCTTTCAGCACGCTGGAAACTGTGGGCATCAACCTCTTCCTCTACCCATGGAAGAAGGAATTCAGGAGCATCAAGGTGAGGTGCAGGTAGTAACCTCCATACTGGTCTTCCTTCTCCCTTCTTGTTGCTTCCAGTTGATGCTGAGTGGGCTTGTGCCAGTCCAGTCACATCCCTTCTCTGTTCTTAGACCCTCCAGGTTCCCCACTGCTTTTGGGACAGCAAGCAGAGTGACCCCCATGGTTTCCCACCTTGCTTGTCTTTCCAGCGTCGTCTCTGAACTGAGTCCCTCCCCCTGGCTGTTACATCTTAAACCAGAGGGTTGGGAAGGCAGGGGCCAGGTTGTGCAGAGCCCTTTAGCCCAGGGCAAAGGACCTGCATTTGTTCTAAGTTGGCTAGGGTGAAGGTGGTGCTGGGGTTTACATTTGAAAAGGATCTTTCTGGCTGTTGTATGGCAAATACGTGTGGACTGTAGAAGAGCTTGAGTGGGGTAGGTATAGCAGTCAGGGGGCTTCTCAGATTTTCAAGCCAGCTGAGAGGTGGTTTGGAGTAAGTGGTAACAACAGACAGCAGGGGCAGAGTGGATTCTGAATTATCCCATGGCAGGGATGGCACAGGAGAGTTTCTCCCAAGTTAGGTTCTTAACTCAGACATATTTAGCCCTTCACAGAAGTCCCTGAAAGGAATATTTTTACAGCTCATAATCTGAGCCCTTTATTCACCTCTCTTTGCCCTGGCTTCCTCTTCACATGGAACAGAGCCTTTGTACCCCACATAGAAGTAGTTTTGTTACCTACATTTAAGAAAGCAGCTGATGGGTAATTTCTCTGGCACCTTACTCAGTTTGTGGTCAGCATAAGTTTCCACCTTCTGCAATGAGAAGCTCCTAAGATCCTTCCCTTCCCTTTCCTCTCCTTGCATGCTCCATTTCAGACTTGGATGCCCTTTGCTTTGAACAGTCTCTGGTGCGGGTCTCCAAGAGAAAATCCCACCTTTATTTTTTACTCCCTCCCTTCTCCTAGACCTACACTGGCCCTTTTGTTTATTATGTCAAGTCGACATTACTGGAAGAGGACATCCGAGCCATCCTGAATTACATGGGCTACGTGCCTGAGTTGGGAACTGCGTACAAGCTCAAAGAGCTGGTGGAGACTGTCCAGGTGAAGATGGTTTCCTTTGAGCTTTTTTTGGCCAAAGTTGAGTGTGAGCAGATGCTAGAAATCCACTCACAAGTGAAGGACAAGGGGTACTCTGAGCTGGACATCGTGAGCGAGCGCAAGAGCAGCACAGAGGACGTGCGTGGCTGCTCAGACGCACTGCGACGGCGGGCCGAGGGCAGGGAGCACCTGACAACATCAATGTCCCGTGTTGCACTCCAGAAGTCAGCTAGTGAGCGGGCAGCCAAGGACTACTACAAGCCCCGCGTGACCAAGCCCTCAAGGTCGGTGGATGCCTATGACAGCTACTGGGAGAGCAGAAAGCCTCCCCTGAAGGCCTCGCTAAGCCTTCGGAAGGAGCCCATGGCGGCAGACATGGGGGATGACCTTAAGGATGAGATCATCCGCCCATCCCCCTCGCTTCTGACCATGTCTAGCTCCCCCCATGGCACCTCAGATGACCTTCCACCTGCCTCACCTAACAATGGCCTCGGCCTGCTGCGCAGCACGTACTACTCTGCTCAGGATGACGTGGATCTGTACACAGACTCGGAACCCAGGGCTAGCTACCGTAGGCAAGATGCTCTGAGGCCAGATGTGTGGCTGGTCAGAAACGATGCCCACCCCCTTTACCACAAGCGCTCACCCCCTGCCAAAGAGTCTGCCCTATCCAAGTGCCAAAACTGCGGCGTGTTCTGCAGCTCCTCCCTCTGCCAGCGCTGTGATAGCCTGCTCACCTGTCCTTCAGCCTCCAAGCCCAGTGCTTTCCCCAGCAAGGCCTCTGCCCACGACAGCCTGGCCCATGGGGCATCTCTGCGGGAGAAATACTCAGGCCAGACTCAGGGCCTTGACCGGTTGCCACATCTCCACCCAAAACCCAAGCCCTCTGCCACAGCCACCTCCCGCTGTGGCTTCTGCAACCGCCTCGGCGCCACCAACACCTGCACCCAGTGTTCAAAAGTTTCCTGCGACACCTGCCTCAGCGCCTACCATTACGATCCCTGCTGCAAAAAGAGTGAACACAAGTTCATGCCCAACAACCAGCTGAACTACAAGTCCACCCAGTTCTCCCATCTTGTGTACAGATAGATTTGACCTTGCATCTCCCCGCTACAAGGGCTACACCGCTGACCTTTCTGGTTTCCTGGTGAAGTAGTATTAATGCATTGGTCTCAGAAGCAGAGACCTGCACTTAACCGTGGAGGTGGTGGGGATTGTGGGCCAGCTGCATCCACGTGAGAGTTCACTTAATGACTCAAGATATTTCAACTGATAGCTGCTTTGTTGTCTGACAAGGGAGAGGGTCGCACTTCCGTTCAGATTCGTTTTTGCAAATCACTCCCTGTTCAGTTGAGTTTTTTCCTTTAAAGAAGATTGTTATCTCTGGGATTCTCACTGCACGTATTCTTCCCACTGCGAAGCCACCGTGGACTGGGAAGGGGCCTTCAGGTCGAACACCTGTCTGGAGTGGCGAGCTGGAGGCCTGTTGGCTTGTGAAATGAGCCCTCCTGCCACACTGGGCCTCTCCCAATGGTTAATCCCTTGGTCGCCCCCCCCCTTCCCAGCTGGACTCCCCATGCCCTGACTTTCCTTCCTCTCCAGGTGTCATAGGTGAACCGAGTCCAGTATTAGCTGAATGTCATCTTATTGCCACCATAGCTCACTCAGCCAGTGGTGTTTATGAACTTGGTTCCAATACATAGCAGTGTGAACTTTCCACAGCAGGACTCACTTTTTTCCCTTTCTGTTGTTTGCACATGTTCCTCTTACTGTACTGTAAATAGATATTTTTGAGATTTATTTTTAAATAAATATTCAACTTGCTGTGTGTTTCAAAGTGGTTAAAAAATTAATTATGTAGCTATTTATGAAAATGCCCTGGGTTCTTTAGTCTTCCAAGGGAGGGCCTCATGCCCTTTCCTGTTATGTCCTCCACTCCCTACAGCCTGAAGGTAGAGTGGAGAGTTGGGGGCAGGAGAGGAATAGAGGTGAAGTCCCACCCTTAAGTTGGTGGAAAGCCACTGTCTTCCCTATGATAAATATCTAGACACCTACCTCCAGTGTGCACTTAGGGTGTTAGAGCAGGTGTTGAGTTCTGGATGCCTGCAGACTGTGATACCTAGTGACGAGTCAGGGACAGACCCTTCAGATCTGTTGCCCTGGCCTTTGGCACTTGCTGAGTGTGAACCTTGTACTCCAAACTTCTTGAGTCTTATTTCAGAAGGAAAAGCCTTTGGGATTCCCACCAGCCCTCCATCTCAGTCCTCTTTTCTTCACCAGTTTCCAGGACTCATCTGCAGCAACATTTGCGATTTTTTTGCACTAAAATTGGGCAGGAGCTGGCAAGTGCCCATGAGGCAGATGGCTCCTCAGATACTCAGCTAAGCCTAAGCACTTCCAAACTGGAGGCCCATTCAACTCCTCATGTGAATTAGCAACCCCTGGATTTTTCTTTTGGGGGCACAGAGCAGGAGTGGGGCAAAATTTTAAAAGTAAAGCCGCTTCCTTGTGAACTAATAATATATTTTAGCCATAAATGTTTGTGACGTACACCACGTTAAGAGATTTATGTACAGTGAGTTTTTCCAGGAGAAAGATACTGGCTCTTGAGCAAGTTTAAATCTGGCTGAATTCTGAGGCCACTGTGAATTTGCTGATGTTCTTCCAACTCAGTTGAATGATTCTAAGGTTTTTCCAAATCTTCTACAGCTCTTTTTTTTTGATATATCTGGTAGATCATATGTAGGTTTACAATGTGTATATTAAGCTGAATTTCAACCAACTTTATTATTAAGACTATCTGGGGCATTCATCTTTGATGTTCTTCCTTTTCACATTTTAGAACCAGCAATGCCTGGCCCATTCCTGAGAGCTCTAGTTTTCTAGTTTTCCATTTCCAGATTGCTCCAGTATTACCAATAACTAACTCTTTTAACAAACCGTGATGCCACGTAACTTACACAGTGAATAAAACCAAGAATGACTAAACTCATCCTAAGAGGAAAAAGTCCAATGTACCTATCATCACGGAAGTACTGTGTTCATAGACTGGAATAGGAAATACTACAACCATGCTCTTTGGTGTGTATCTTACTGTATGAGGTTGCTGTGATTGAGATAGTAAAATATATGCTAATTTAAAAATGCAGATGTTTTGCATTTGATTTCTATGAAGAGTTGAAATGTTGAGGAGATGATTAAAAATATTAATAATAAAATGTCTTCCATTGTTAAATGAAGTGTTTGGGGTTTTATGTCCCCCGTCCCCCTTCAAACATCTTTGAAGTTTGGTTGCTTGGTTTTTGTTTCTGTTGAGAAACAACCAACCATATTAGTTCCTTAATGACAGGATTCAAACTTTTGCTTGAGAAATAATAGGCAGCACTTGAGTGCTGTAGTATAAGCGAGGCAGTTTATATATGAGACGTTGCCCGTGTGACCTCATGTAATAGTCTCAGTGATCCTAGAAGGTAGGTACTGTTATGATCCCCATCTATAAGATGGGGAACCGAAGTACACAGAGTTCCCAGGGGTGGGACTGCGTACATCAGGAGAAATGATTATTGGTGGTGACTGAGAGGTATTTTTTTTTTTTTGAGACAGAGCCTTAAGCTGTCCCCCTGGGTAGAGTGCTGTGGTATCACAGCTCACAGCAACCTCCAACTCCTGGGCTCAAGCAAGTCTCCTGCCTCAGCCTCCCAAGGCTATTATTATTTTTTTTTTTTTGGTTGCAGCCGTTGTTGTTTGGTGGGCCTGGGCTGGATTCAAACCCGCCACCTTAGGTGTATGTGGCTGGCGCCTTAGCCGCTTGAGCCACAGGCGCCGAGCCGAC